GACGGCACGACACCGTCAGCACCTTTCATCATCCATTGGATGCGGGCGTGGGCCACACCGACCAAGGCCGTCGACAGCGCAAAGCGATACATTCGTGGGTGACCTGCTTGAGGAAAAATCGAAAGTGATCTTCACGGGCGGAACGGGCGGCCGCGACTGTTGGGGCCTGTCGAAGAGGAGCCCACCGAAGTTTTCACTGGGCGTTTCTAAGTTGACGGATGGCTTTGCACGCTTTGGGGTTGAGCACTCACTAAGCTAGAGGGGCTTGCGATGCCGACCTCGGCCGCCACATGCCGCGTCGTAGTAGATCATACTGCAATCATCGAGCCGTCGGCGATTCGGCATGTCAAGATAGCACTCAGTTTCGTCCTTCGCGTGCGTTGGCTTCGACGCGACGGTTGGCCCTTCGAGCAAAATTGTCCTAGCATTGACTTCATCCAATCACGCTGCACTGGAGTGCGACCCAATATAATCCCCAGTGGTTTGTAGCATACCAACGAGCCATGTTGCATCGATCGTTTACAGCGATACATCATGCGTGTGTGCATGCAGCGGAAAAGTGCGGTAGCGACGGTGATGGAGTGTGCTCCGTTGAATTGAAATGGTGCTCACGGTGAAGACCAGTAAACTCTGTAAATTTGCAATGGGATTAGTTGTTCTCACCTGAGGCTCGAGCCTACTGTGCATTTTGCCCTAAGTGGGTAGTCGGTGCTGGATTGTTTGTTCGGGAAGGATTTGTATTCCATCCTCCGTTCCTCCGATGTGTCGGCAAGTTTGAGCAGACTGCGTTCTCATTGGCTAAGTCTGCTTGCCTTGTCGGACAGTCAGTGCACCTCGAAGAGGGACTGACTGAAGGGAACACTTTCAATTCTAGAATAAGGTAACCTTACGATTTGTCAAGTGGAGTCCACTGCTCCGAACGCGGTGGGCTAGTTACGAACGCCGGTATACGGACAACACAAAGCTGTCCTCAGGCATACTAGCTATTAACATGTAACTGTCTCAGGTGGAGTTGCCTGAAAGTCATGTCGACGATGGCTGGCAATCACGATCGGACAGACGGACCGCGAAGCGTCCAACTGACCAGCGAGTCCCGTTACTGCCATGACTCAAGTGGAACACAAAAAGTGCGAACTATGAAACGGGTACGCTGAATGTTCAAATCGCCGGAACGTCGGACCTCTGTTGCCTAACATTGCAATGCCATGGTAGCTGGAGACCAACCCACGCGCCTGCACCGCCTGCAGCTGTTGAATACACCGCAGCAGAAGAAATGGACAATGCGGATGTGGGGAAAGATGACGTGATTGTGCGAAACGCTTCAGCGTTGCCGAAATCGCCGATGATCAATGGTCGACGAATCCTGAACATCAGGTGTTTATATCGTCGTACGATTTATACATCAACGAAACGTATGCGCTAACTGCCAAAGGCCTGCGCCCGTTCGTGATGCTGGTTGGTGCGTGTATGGACTTCGAAACGAAGTACCGCATTGTCATGTGGGACCTCGGTAAAGAACCAGAAGAGTTGACGGAAGAAGAATGGGTTGCGTGGTTCAGACCTGGTTTTGAAATTGCACCTCGTACGTTTGAATGCCTGAAGAAGCGCGTTAAATTGTTTATTTGTTTCGAAATGTCGATTACAGACAGATGCTGAGTCGCGTGTCAGCACGATGTTCGGTGGTCTGGTTGATGAGCGTGCAGATTTGTTGTCGTGAGCGTGCCGTTGCAGCCCTCGAGGGCGAATTCTCATTCTGTGCGTATGACGAAGCAAGATCGTGGAGGGCGGATTTTAACAGGAAGCGCTAGAAGACTGCGAGAGCGCCATTGTGTCATCGTGGAGGTTGACACGGAAGAGTTCGGCGTCCTGATGGTGGACCATTCAAAGATTACCCCGAACCGACTCCAGGCAGCGCCGTAAAACACCAACTCGGGGTGTATGTGTGGGCATGCGTGGTGGGTGCGGTGCTGGGTGTCCACGTCACCACAGCCGTAGGCACAGCTGATTGCATCATGTTGCCTGATTGGGAGGTAGGCAAAGCGGCAATTCACAGGAAGCATGCGGAAGAGCACACACAGCCACATATCGCCGTGTAGTTGGGTGTTGGTGTCCGAGCAGGATCCCAAGGTACTTGATGGGCTGCTCTGTCGACACAATCTTAAGCAGGTCCTCGCCATCCGTATCGACCGGGTCGAAGTCACCGTTGAGCACGAGGTTAGCATTTGGCTGGGTTGATCCGTGCCCTGGAGCAACCCCGACTACGGAGAGTTACTCGACAGTCACAGGCAGGTCCCGAGATAGCGAGTCGAATCGCCGGCGAAGAAGTTGCTGGTGATGGCATCGACGAAGTGGAGAGTGACATTAAGGTGTGTGTGACGCCGTATCATGCCGCTCAGGGGCCCTAGGTAGAACACATATAGCAGGTATGACAGGGGGAGCCTTGCTTGACATTCGAATCGGGAGGATGGTCGGCCTCATCGTGCCGTTGAACATGATGTTGGCCACCGGCGAGTTGTAGAGCAGACGAAACCAGGCTATGAAGTTATCCCCCAGGTTCATTTCGACCACCACATCGAACAGTAAGTACTGCTCAACCTTGTCGCATGCCTTGGAAAAGTCGAGGAACATGGCGTAGTTGTCTTCATCTTCCATGGTCAGTAGTGCTGGAGCGCCTGCATCAGGGCGACGTGATCATGGAGCCGAGGAACAGGGACGAAGCCGGCTTGAGGGGTGTGGATGAGCTGGGGTGCGTGATGGGCTAGCCGAGGGTCGCGGTCCGACACGATGAGCCGTGGGAGGCCGAATCGACAAAAATCGTGGTCAATGTATAGGCATATGGCGTCGATACCGCTGCGGACCCCTTGACTGGGACGGTCACGATGTATGAGGACGCCCGTTCGACACAGACCATGATACCCGTGCTACTATGAGCGTCGCACGGGAGGGAGGGCATACGTAATGTCCATCTAACCGACGACCAAAGGTCATCGGGGATCAGCAAAGTTGTAATGGCGACCAAGAGGACAACATAACCTTGTTGCGTTAACAACAATCGAAGCGGGCGACGTGGCGCACAACATCGATCGACAAGCCGACAGCACTTAACCCAATGTGGTCAGGGTCGTTTTCTTCGATCTTTCAACCAACTATGCGGCAACCATTACACGGAGATTCCCATGTCCTTGGTAATCCACACTGCTATGCCTTTACAGGGACTCGCTGTTGCATGCGATGTCTCGTTTCTTTCCAGTCTCCTTCTGCATGAGGACTGCCCCAACTGCAATGTGACTCGCGTACACCCAGATCACGAAAGCAAATTGAAGGCCGAGTGTGCCAGTGTCGGGGGGCAATACCAAGCAGCGCTTGAGTTTGTTGTGCGTGACCTCGCAGTATTCCGTACATGTGAAGGAGTCTCGACAGTCAGTGCCATCATCGGGGCGGCAATTTTGGAGAAGCATCGGGCAAAACGTCTGAAGCAGCTTGCTAACCCGAGTAATACGCGCGCTTCGCTGGCATCATTCAGCTTCCGGACGCGAAGCACGGACTTGATCTTTTTTGGGGGCTCGCTTGGATGCCTGTCGGCATGGCGATATGTACGAGAAATGGGAAAGATGAGTCACTCCGTTTGCACTTGAAACTTTGAACTTATTTCCGGCTCTCAAAACATTTTCAGAACTTGGCTCAATCAGATGAGGTGTGATCCAAGTCCTCGCTGAATATGATGGAGTCGTCGAGATACACCAATTATATCCTCTATTTGTAGTCGATCAGAATGTGTTCCTTCAGCCGATCGAAGCGCGGGATTGCATTGCAAATTCCGAAATCAATCGCAAGCGATTGGTACACTCCATACTTATTTGTGAACGCATTGTTTTCTATGCTGTCCTTGGCAATTGGGACGTTCCAGAAGACAGAGGCAATGCCCATATTTGACAAAATTGTGTCCCATCCAATGATATCCAAGAGGTCATCGATCCTTGGCATGGGGTAGGAGTCCTTGATGATGACGTAGTTGATTCGGCGGTACACCACAAAACGACGATTGGATCCGTCCAGTTTCTGAATCATGAACGTATGGCTGGCCCATGGCTGAAGTCTGCTGAAATATGTTATTGTTTTACCAAAAAAGGAGTATTTTGCCTCAGTACTGTAGTTACTTTCTCTGGGAATAAGTGCAGGCAGTGATAGAAATTGGTGATGCGGATTTTCGATTGGCCTGACAGTTAGTGTTATGACAAGTCGGACAGTGCCATTCGATTCCGGAGGGAGGGTTACCTCAGGAACCTCAAAAATCTACCTGTCCTAACTGATATTGAACGCGGCGTAGCTTGCTGACCGAGCGGCGATTGTAGTAGTTTAGCCTTAGTAACTTAGCCATTACTTGTTTCGCAGTGTAGGCCATCTCTACCCATTTTACCCTTCTTCCTGCCGGCAACCGACACCTTCATGTTGCCGTCGACTACTCCTGTCGCTTAGCCTGGGTGAAGAGTACACTGTTGAGCAAAATCTCCCGAAAGATAGCCTCGTGGTCTTCGTTTGTTTGGTCACGCTTGTTGACACGTATAATGTATGTTGTTATATATTTGTTAGGGGTTCGTCAGATTGTCACACACATCAGTTGTCATCCAATCTCCCGGCAGGATGAAAGTGGTAGAAATTTGGCACCGCCCGCACTGACACTGGTAAATATTGCAACGTGAGACGAGACCGTTGGCTCTTCTACGCAAACATGTTTCGTTGATTTGTGAACAACGACCTTGCGTCCTGATTTCGAAGGCGTGAAGCTTGTTTTGTGCAAGTTGAAAACGCGGAAAGGTTCCAGATCGTCGAGCGACAAATGTTTTGCCATCTCGTAATAGAAATCCAAGACCCCGACTTTGTCGGCAGTGTTGCGTTTCTTGCTGAGAGTGCTTGACTTGGCCACCTTCAGCTTCTCGTGCCTATCGACGAAGCGTTGGTACTACACAGCAGTCACATTGGTGGGATGCGGATTTCCCCGAATCTGTCGATAATGCTGATGGCGTTTTTGATCACATGGCTGCGACTTACAGGGTGGTTATCTTGCTCCATCGCGAAAGTCCTTGTCATTAAGTCCTTTACTTGCGCGGTGGCATGATTGGTGCTGGGCCAATGGACTTTTCCACATTGCCCTAGTCATTGCACCATGGAATCGCGTACGCTGAGGGATGCCATCTGCTAGTGGCTACCGTATGTACCTTGGCGATGAGGTCCATGACGGCATTAGCAGTGTCATCTGGGCGAGTATGACGATGTTGGCGGCATGTCGCTTTCAAATTTGGATAGCCTCTTTACATTAATTGATTTTCCCTCCATTACGTTTGGTACGCTATTTTTCATACGCGGTTTTATTTTGACTAATCACTGCTAATACTAATTTCCATTGGCTTATTCAATTGAGAGTAAATTGGAAAGTGATTGATTAAGCCGAGGTTAAGCTAGACTTCGAGAATGTTCGCTTCTAGAAATTCTGCATTAGGCAGCGCTAGGGCGATGTGGCTTCCATTAGCTTTCACTTGCGCAAGGCTCATGTAACATGCAGA